TAGGGATTGTGAGCATATATAGAGGATTCTGAATCTCAAAGTTGGAGAATAAGAGTGGGAAGCAATGAGGAGTGAAGGTTAGGTCAAGCCTCCACCCTTCAAGGATTTTATGTTCAACAACATTTTTTGGAGTGTGTTTTGTGTTTTATTACTTACAAGCATTTTGAGTGTGGTTTGGATTAAAGTATGCTTACATTCATTCTATAGATTTGGGTTCTTTTATTTGAACAACAAGCCTGTTTCTATTAGTATCCTAAGTACCTCTAAGTGAGCGTATTCAAAAAATTTGTGTGAGCATTTGCAAGCTGGGTTAACATACGCACACTTGTTTTATGTTATGAGGCCGCTACTAGTAAGTAGAAAGCATTTGATAAAAGATCAAAAAAGCATCATTAGCTTGACAAGTTGGAGATTTTATGTCAAGTGGCTTGAGTGACAAGTTTATTCATTGTACCATTCTTGGTATTAGTGGATTTGTGTGACAATTCTTGCATGTGAGGGCTTCTAAAGTGTGAGTTTTTTTTATTAAACTTTAACTTAATATTGTTATGAAAAGTTGAATGCAAAAGATGGATAGTGATGGATCTGGTTCAAGACAAAGTGAATCTTTTGTAAAGCTTGAGAAGTGGAGTTGAGTTGATATTGCTGAGAAAGAAGAATGCACCCAAGGAAAGACACCAACAACAACTTCTCCAACCACTACCAAGGGAAAAAATGCTCAAGAGGGTGTTTAGAGTGAAGGATGTTCCTAAGATCAAGAAAAGGGGAAGGAATGAATTTTCCCTAAGTGGTAGATTCTATGAAAGAATCACAATTGGCATAAATTAAAGCTTGGGCAGTGAGGTGGTAGTGATAAATCTTTTTGAGGTGATTTAACATCTTTCCACTAAGGAAGACCTTCTTTTGAATGTGGATATGGAAGATTCTCACCATTCTCTGAAGGAGCTTGAGGTTAGCATAACATCTTTAACATGCCTAAAGTTCCTTTCAACTGCACCACTAAATCTTGATGGAATGATCCTTCTCATGCAAAATTTGTAAGTGTCAATAGATTCGAATGTTTGGTTGAGAATCCTCATAATCCCCACCATAAAGTGATCCAAAAAGTTCAAGAAGTGAGGTAGAGTGAGGTGGCTATTGTCTAAGGATGACATATAGTAATTTTGGAGTTGTGGGAAGTATTGCAAAAGCTAATATTGATGCAGAAGAGAGGCAATGATGGAAGAACTAATGCTATAGTCGAGCAAACAAAAGACTATACTAGATAGGTATTATAGTGTCCACCAAGCTGAGGACTTGTATGTCATTGCGGCTTATAGTAGCATGTTTATAAATCTTTCAGGGAATGCCTAACTTTCAGCCTTCAAAGTAGAAAGATTCGAGCATTTTTGGAAAGTTTAAACTTCTAGCTTTCAAGGGAAATATCCCTCTTGATGAAAATCAAGATTAGCTTACCAAGCTAAAGAAGTCAATAAGTAAACTGATTATGACACTTTGTTTTGAGATTGCTATAGCACAAGGGCTTGCTAGGGTTTTGTGGAACTCTAGTAAGGAGGAAATCCAAATGGATTCATAACAGATTTAAATTGGTTTAAGGTGAAGTTTGGCAAAAGATTCTTGAGTCTAGATAGTCACCAATTGATAAATGAGTTGTGAGCTAGGAAGCAAAAAGAAAAAAAGGATGTTTAGATATATGTAGATGCCTTGAATCAACTCACAATGCAACTTAGATCTTAATTGTGCAAGTATTTTTGTTGGGGCCTCAAGAAGAATCTTTGGGAGCAAATGAAGCATTAGCTACCCCAGATTTTTTATTGAGAATCTTCTAAGTAAAAGAATAGAGCATTAAAAGACTAGTAAAAAATAATGTATGGATAGACATTAAGAATCTTGTAGCAATATTAAAGTAGAAATTGAAAAGTCAATTCATGAAAGTTAAAGATATGAATAAATTTCATATATGAATGAATAGAATGAATGATTAAATTTATTGAATAAAGATATGATTATCAACTCATATCTTTTAAAAGGAGGTTAGCTAACTAAGGTGGTGGTGCCTAACAAAACCACAAGTGCTTTATATATAATAGCAACCACTGGCTTAAGATTGTTCAATAAATTAGCAACGTTCAGTTACCAATCATGCTATATACATTGAAGAAGGTAATGTATAGTTAGTTGAAACAGTGGAAGATTTGTAAGATTTGTTCTTAAAATTTTTTTTGAAGATTTGTCAAAGAGGAGGATGCAAGGTTATATGTTGTCTACACTTGAGAGCAACAATGGAAAAATAGAGAAGAAAGGGATATGTGCATTTGCAAGCTATGAGATCTATGCAATACATGTGGATTTTGAGAGGGCGGAGAGAGAGAGAGAGAGAGAGAGAGAGAGAGAGAGAGAGAGAGAGAGAGAGAGAGAGAGAGAGAGAGAGAGAGAGAGAGAGAGAGAGAGAGAGAGAGAGAGAGAGAGAGAGAGAGAGAGAGAGAGAGAGAGAGAGAGAGAGAGAGAGAGAGAGAGAGATAGATATGACATGTAACATTTTTTCACATGTGGTATAGAATCAATTGCAAAAGTGACTAGCATTCAGAAGTAAACAACCAAATTAAATGGTGCAAATACTTTAGTGCATGCATAGGAAAATTCTTGGTAGATTTTTGGGTTCTTTTGGGCAATAATTTGGGGAAAAGCAAAGGGAAGTTTCAAGATGGCCTCTACTAATCAGCTTCAGTTCTTTCATAAATTCTAGTAATAATCCAGTGATTTACCAAAAAATAAGTTTTTGTTAAGGAGTGGGGTAAAGAAAGATTGTGTATTTGTCCCAAAGGTGGTTCAAATATAAATACCTAAAGTTTATAAAGTTCAAACATAAATACCTAAAGACAACAAAAGTTTCTTAACCTAAATGAGTTTGCTATTTTATATGGGTTTATATTTTTTTTTTCTTTACCTTCTTTCATGTTTATATATATATATTATCCTAGGATACTATTATAAACCAAATAGAAGATCTTGGAGTTGGCCTTAAAAGAATTTAAGGATAAACTTTTGGGCATCAAGTATTGGCAAAAAGATCCATGTACTAGAATCCCACAATAAGAAGAAGTATTGAGAGTTGAAGATGGGGAGGGTGGCCTTTGTCATCAAACGACCTAAAAATTTATAAAGCTTTAAAAGGAAATTCTAATCCAAGATTTTGGGGCAAAGGGAAGAACCATAATGGAATAGGTGGTTTTTAAATGGGGGCTTAGGTAGAGATCTTGTTGATCCTTCAATACTCTAGATATGCAAAAGATCATGATTTTGTAGGAGTTATTGGTTGTTAGGATTCACAATGATTCACTTATGGGGGATCAAATTTGGAACTAGGCTACAAGTTGATCAAATCAACCCTAGGTTATACCACTTACCTTTGGGGATGGATTAAAAATTAAAGTTAGAAAGATCTTCATCTAGGGAAGGCACTCAAAAAACGTTGTTAAACACAAAATCTCCAAAGGGTGAGGTGAGACTTGGTTTAACCCTCATTCCACTCTTATTTTTTAGCTCCAAGATTCTAGAGATCTCAAAATCCTTTACATGTATTACATAGATCCATTACAAAAATCTTTTGGGTTTTTTTGTTTGAACAGCAAGTATATTTCTATCAGTGTTCTAAGTACTTTAGAGTGAGTGTGTTTGGAGATCCTGTGTTAGTATCTGTAGTGTGCTATGAGGTTGGGTCACATGCATGCGCTTGTTTCACATTGTGAGGCTGCTACTAGCAAGTAAAAAGCAACTAGGTTGTGGTAGTGAGAGATCCTAGAAGCATTGCCAGGTTGATATGTTAAATATTCCATGCCAAGTGCTTAGAGTGATAAGTTTAGTCATTGCAGGCAGTACACATTTCTTGTCACGAACACCATGCTAAAGAAGGTGGTGTGCTAGAGAGTAGAGAAATGGTGAACAAGAAGTTGGTATGGTGTGCAATTTGGTCACCAAGTGGCAAGAACATGTTCAGCTATCTTTAATGCATGGGATGAATAAGTCGCCTCACATGGTATGGGCCATTGCTATGGGCATGAAGCAAGAAATGGATATTTCTGTGTCCAATCATACGTGGACCAATAACATTATGACACGTACTCTCTCTCACACACACAAACACTCAAGGCTCGGAAAATTTGCCGCGACGCAAGCCCCGGATCTAGTCCAGCGACAAAAGTAAGTTTTGTGTGAAACAAGGCATCTCTCTCCTTGTGTTTTTTCCTCTTTCTGGAACTCGTCTTCTCGCGGAAAGTTCATTGTCACGCCAGAGACTTAACGGGATTCTAAATCATTGTAACTTCTCCTTTCAAAATCTTTTTTCTCAAACGATTCGCCTTTGTATTGCTGCTGAGTCATAGCTATGCCGGAATTGCCGGCTAGTTTTACAATCTTCGCTGCCGGATCAACGAAAGCGAACTTTCCAAACACCGCCAGCAACAATCTTCCCTCGAGAGCACAAAAAAGGGAAAAGAACGAGCTCTACTCTACAATACCTAGAACCTCGCGCCGGGTATGAAATTGAAGAAATGTAGCACCAATTGCTCCGCCATGGGCGCCTCGAACGCTTGCTTTTGACCCGGAGCTCCCTCCTGTCGCGGACATTGGGCGCTCTCTTCGTGGCCAACGCCCACCACCGGTGCCTCCGCAAACACGATTGGGGCAGCGGCGTTGCCCACCGCGGCCGCAGCTGCTACCGTCGCCAGCGATCGCGATTTCTTCCCTGCCATGGAGGATCTAAAGCGCGGAGAAGAATGGAGAGAGGAAAACAAAAATCTTGCCCTTGCGTTTTCTTCCGGGCCCCTTCGTTTTAATACTGGCGGTGAAGAAAAGGAGGGTATCTGACGTGTCCAAGTAGTGTCCACTAGATGAAATGACAGAAAATTCGTGTCTACCTCTAGGTTTAGGGCTTCTCGAGAATATGCGTTGCGTGGGGTGGAATATTCTAGCTGTGTTAGCCAGCTTGCATGAGTGGTGTTTAAGCTAGTGAAGATTTTTCGCCATCATGTGGCATTACGTCAAGTTGCTCGCCTTGTTTAATCCCTGATTTTCGCGTAATGCGAGTGCTTAATATAAATCTGGGCCAGCAGCCAAGCAAAGTCTCGCGGCAAGAGAGGCTTCGTTCGTTCTTTGCTTCTTCTTTCTAGCTTTGCTTCTGGCGATGGAGCTTACGAAGTTCCTTCTGGTCTTTGGAGCCTGCTGCCTCGCCGCTGTGATCCAGTTCTTGCCAGGAGCGCAGGCCGCCCAAGTAGTTTGCACTGCAAACCCGAACCGCTGGTGCTTCGATCTCGTCCTTCCCTGTCCCAGGAGGTGTCCCAATCAATGCAGCGTCAATTGCAACGCTTGCTCCACTAGCTGCGGTAAGTATCAACGTTTCCAGCTTCCTTGGAAGGAAAAAAAGAGAGGGAAGTACCTTCACGAAGAATCGACTTTGATCGTGGCTTCTTCTTCTTTGCGCCTTGTCTCGCAGATGTCCGGAGGTGTAACAGGCCAGGATCGGTCTGCCAGGACCCCCGCTTCGTCGGTGGCGATGGAAGCGTCTTCTACTTCCACGGCAAGAGGGACCAGGACTTCTGCATTGTCTCCGACGCCAATCTCCACGTAAACGCCCACTTCATCGGAAAGTCCAAGAGCGGCCCGGGCCTCAAGCGCGACTTTACGTGGGTGCAGTCGCTGGGAATCCTGTTCGGAGACCACCCAGCTCAGCTCGGTGCCAGAACGTTGCAACTTGGGACGACTCCGTCGATTACTCGAGCTCCAGCTCGATGGCAGCGCGGTAACTCTCCCCTCTGGCGAAGGGGCCGTCTGGAGCGAGCCACTCGTCGGGCTACGAATCGAAAGGCTCAACCTGTACAACGACATCTCCGTCCAAGTTAGAGACAGCTTCACACTCAAGGCTAGAGTTGTACCTGTGACTCAAGCCGACTCCAAAGTTCACCGCTACGGGATCACCCCGGACAACTGCTTCGCACATCTCGATGTCAGCTTCGAGTTCCACAAGCTGTCCGGCAACGTTGCTGGAGTTCTCGGGCAGACTTACGCGCCCGGTTACAAGAGCCGAGTGAACTCCAGCTTGCCAATGCCGATCATGGGAGGCTACAAGGAGTATCTCACGTCTGGCCTCCTGAATCCCGACTGCCCTGTGTCGAGGTTCGGCGTGGCTGCAGTTGAAAGCTCGAAGTTTTCCTTCCCTGCAGTGACCTGTGGGACGGACAACAAAGGCTTCTCGTGCCGTCGCTAGATCCGTGTTCCACGTTGTTACTGCTTGGACTGCTTGGCTTACACATTCTATTAGCTCCAAAATAAAGCAAAGTGAAATACAAGTACCTTTAGTCTTTGGAAATATCATGGAGTGCCAGCATTGCGTTGATGAGCTTCCGGCGGCTTGTCCTGTATCTCTCCAGCAGGACCGCAAAGCTTTCACGAGCTTCGGAGAAGACTGCGTCGTCGTACAAGGCCCTCACCACAAAATTGGCTCTGGCTGTCACGTACATCTCCGGGAACCTGTCTTCTTTTATGGTAGAGTCGATCGCAAGTTTGAAGTCCGTTTCAAGACTTTGTGTCCCCGGGAGATGACCCAGCCAACTCAAGCCAGCAGCGCACTCTTCTCCGTTGATAGCTCTTTCAGACTCTTCGGCATGCGAAGCTATCTTCTTAATCAGTTCCTTGAACGTCGCATGCGACTTGTTGTATGTGGCGGGCATAGCGACTGAGCACGCCTTTCGAAGCTCTCTTACAGCATTGTCCGCCATTGACCACACTGTGAAATGTAAAAGTGTTTTACACAACCTGCTGTCCCGACTTTGAGGTGGATTCTCTCGAAGAAACCATAAATGCAAAGCGATGTGAATGAATCCTTGCCATCTGTATGTTGCAAAGTCAGGAGGAAAGATTTCATGAAAAGTCCAACCAGACTCACTCAAATGGAAGCTCCACTTCAACGCCAAAAGTGAGATGCAAGGAGAACTTCGATGTCGTCGTAGGACAATTCCCAGTCGTCGTCTTCAGAGTGCAATGCTTTCTCTTCCCACGACCTGGACTTTTAGAAGTGTTGCCATCTTCTGAAGTGCTAGCTTGATGAGCGAAACCTCTCGGAATGTATAACGCGCTTCCTTCCGTCAACACTGACTCTGCTAGCTCACGACTCTGGACCTCAGCCTTAGGCACAAGTCTAGGCGCATATAATCGAGGAAGCACGACGGTAGCAGCCGGATTAATGCTCCACCTCTTTGTTCCAGCAAGTTGCACGACAAAGACGCAGTGATCATCGTAGTGACGACCCAAGCCTTGAGCATTTGACGGGGTCAAGTAAAGATTTGCTCCAATGCTGGCTTGACCAAGTTGGAAGCCCAAGCTCTGAGCAAGTTCCGCGACCACCTTTGAGCGAAACTCAATACCTCTCACAGCCACCGTGTAACCGAGCTCGAAGGCCTTGATACAGTCTTCCACACGGACAATCTGTCCTTCACCGTTTCTAGAAAAGTAGTGCTGCTCCACGCAATCACCAGTGGTGCATTTGACGAGTCGAATGTCCTGCTGATAAATCAAAGGCCTTCCCAGGTCGTCATGTATCTCTTTGAAAAGCTGGCAAGGATCGAGTTCGTCGCTGCTGACCGGAGGACATGAAATGGAAGCTCCAACCAAAGTTCTGAGAAGCTCTGACGAATCCTGAGCTGGAAAATCCTTCCGAAGAGCCTCGAATACTCTGCCTGTTCCATTTGTAATCACTGCCGGAGATCTCTCCCAGCCTTTCTCAAAGAACTCCTGACTGTTCTCCAGAAAAGTATGCCTGCCGAGGTCTTTGGAAACTGGCAACTCAAGCTCCAATCCGAGCAATGCGAGAAGCTTCGCAAGGAGATGTCTCGTAGACGTCGATCCACCGTCTCCTTCCAAGATATCCTTCCAGACTCTTCTCAGCTTCGAATACGACGTGCAAGCTATCTCTCTTGGAACCCGTTGGATGGTCACCTCATAGTGTTCCTGGAGCAAAGAGTCGGCTACACGAAGAGCATCTCCAAAGTGTTCTTCGATATCACAGTTCCATGCCGAGCTCAAAGAATCTGCAAGGGAAATGAACAAGCTCCTGTCAAGACGACGGAATAAAAACCTCTTCCCGATCTAAAGCGGAAGCATTGAAACGAGAAATCTTACAAGAAGTAGTCCATCACACCGCATTCTTGCAATGCTCGTCGAGCAGCCGCAGTGATTCCCAGATCGGCGACGGCATCGATCGCGGCACCAGACACACTGGAATCGTCGCTAGCAATGAGCGGAACAAGCGAGCTGAGCAGCTCGACGCAGCTCGCAACGTCGCGATTTAGGCTCTCGGATTGCAGCGCCAGCAAACCGATAATCTCGGCAGATTTCACCGCTCCTGTCGCATTCCTGGAGCGATCACTTGCATTCCCATCCACCAGAAAGAAAGCTCACCTCGATCGAAGAAGCTCCTTGAGAACGTCCAGGAGGCAACGCTCCGCCATCAAGAACCCTAAAGTATATTCGATAATTGATCCACAATAAAGAACAAAGCTCTAGGGTTTATGCGGGAGGAGAATGCTGTGGCGAGCGCAGGGGCTGCGGGTAAGCGAGCTAGCAGTTTTTGAGAATTTCTGAGAGAATGTAGCTAGATGTGCTATGAAATATCTGAAATCTCTGCCATTTTCTCCAGATTGACAGGAAGAACTCGAGCTTCTGGTTGCGCTTGTGTCGCGATTTTCATCCGCAAGGTCGAGAGGCAACGCGTGAGTTTCCACAGAACAGGGAGCTACCACCTCTGGTACCGCCGAAGAAGAAGCCTTACTACAAGCCCCTTCCTCTGGTGATATGGGAGCACAGGCGAGACAAGAGGCTTGGCGTGAGGCGGCTGTGGAAAGCCCCGCTCAATGGAATGCTTGTGGAGGATCTCATACCTCTCGCTCACGACGTTCTCAAGGAGTACGCTGTGCTCGAGGAAGGTGTCAAGAGGCTCATGAAATCCGTCACAGTGAAAGCTTGCACGTAAGTTTCTCTTCATCTTCTTCGGTTTTTTTTGTTTTTTTGTTTTCGTTTCCTCTTGTTCTATTGCTTTTGATTCTTCTCTTGTCCTCTTTTTTTTTTCCTAGCTTTGGAATGGTTGTCATGTCTTCTCCCTCATCATTCTATTTATCAGCTTTCGTGTTCTAATGGGAATTCCTGGCGTTACAGTTGCTGTATGGAGATCTACGTAGGAAAAGTGGGTCACAAGCTCCCGACTTGCAGAGGCACGAGCAACCGAGCAATCTATGGACAGCACCGGTGGATCAGGGGGTACGTTGAAGACGTGATCATCCCGCTAGAGGCTTACCACGTCTACAACAAGATAGGACGCTCTATCAAGCACAGCCAAAGGTACACAGTCCCGAGAGTAGGCGCAATTCACGAGCTTTGCATGCAGGCGGGTGTTGACGATCCCAGGTACCCGATGATCAGGTGGGCTCGAAGGTCTGGAAGACAGGTCGGGGACGGCCAGGCCCAGATCCCTCTCACTCGCTTCCGGAACAAAATCATCCCGGGCTACTCGTCGTCGAGTGACACCAGCGACGATGACGACGACGAGAGCGGGTCTCCAGTGGTGGAATCCAAGACCGAAGCGGACGAAGCCAGGGAAGAACCCGGAGCAATCCAGGAAAACAAAGTTCCTCAGATCGAAGAACTTACAGGAATCCAGGAAAACGAAGCTCCTCAGATCAAAGAACTTACAGGAATCCAGGAAAGCGAAGCTCCTCCGATCGAAGACAGTGGAGGCTGCCAAGCTCCTGGCGAGAAGCTGGAGGAGATGGGGCCGGACGAAGTTCCAAACGAAGAAGAAGAAGACAGCAGGAACAGACCACGCAAGTTTGAGCTGCGGCTCGCGGAGGAGGAGCTGGGCGATTTAGAGGTGGAAGCAGGAGAGAGCCGAGTGGACGCCGAGAAGCGAGAGCTCAAGGCGGTGGCGGACAGGACGCTGGTGGCATTCGACAGCGTCCGCCGGGGATTGCAAGCGCTGCTCTACAAGTACAAGGTGTGGGCTTGCGGCTACTGCTCCGAGGTTCACATCGGTGTCAAGCCTCACAAAGTCCTGCTCTGCGGGGGCCTGGGGCGGGCATACAGGGGCGGCGGCCATGCCTGGCAGGAGGCCGCGCTGAGCGACGTCTTCCCCCCAAACTTCGTGTGGCACGTCCCGGCAAATCACCACCCGAGGCTGTCCAAGGAGCTTATCCGGTACTACGGCCAGACACCCGCGATCGTGGAGATGTGTGTCCAGGCCGGGGCCGAGGCGCCGCCGCGGTGGAAAGCTTACATGAGGATGGATGTGGCGATCCCACTCGAGGAGGAGATGCTGTGGACTGCCTAGAGCTTGGGCTTCTTAGTTTTTTAAATGGTTTTTCGCGCGAAGTTTGAAAATTTAAGAGCCCTACCCTAGTTGTATTTCTTGACCCAGATGGCGTCGTGTGATGCATTCCTGCGCGTCGAGCCGCTGGCGCTGGGGATCAACGCGTCTCTGACCACTCCGGCGACGAATCCGTCACGGTGAGTGCTGCTCTTCACCCCAGGGGAGCCGCGATCCAGCTTTTAATTCGCGCGGAGGACAGGAGCAAGGGTTTTGGGCTGTAATCTGGGAAGAAATCGCCGGCGCAGCAATGGCGTCCTTCCTGATGCATGGAATTCTCCATGCGACGGTCTTCGAGGCCGTGGGAATCACCGATCAGACGCGAGTCACTGGCACAGCGCCCGAGTTCTTGCGAATGGTAGATTTATTTCTCCATTTTTCGATCGCTTAGAGCTTACTCGTCCACGGATTCGTCTCGCAGATCGTGGAGGGCGTGGAGGACGTGGTCGGCCTCGGGAGGGGCGCAAATCGAATGTATGCCACTGTGGACCTCGACAAGACCCGGGTGGGAAGAACGCGAGTGGTGGATTTCTCGCCAAAAAGCCCGGTGTGGAACGAGTCCTTCCACATCTACTGCGCGCACAACGTTGCTCACACGATCATCAGCGTCAAGGCCGACCTCCGGATCGGAGCCACGGTGCTGGGCCAGGCCAAAGTCTCGGTTCTCAATCTCCTCTCGGGCCAGCCGCTCGAGAACTGGTTGGACCTCTGCCGGGAGGGCGGCAAGCCCATCAAGGGCGCCAAGGTCCGCGTACGCCTCCAGTTTTTCGACGTGACCAAGGATCCAAACTTTGGCTTTGGCGTCCGCGATGGCTTTCGCTTCCCGGGGGTGCCTTTCACGTACTTCAAGCAGCAGCGCGGATGCAGAGTCACGCTCTACCAGGATGCTCACATGAGTGACAACTTCCTGCCACCGATTTTTCTCGCGGGAGATCAGCTCTATCAGCCGACTCGGTGCTGGGAGGATATGTTCCACGCCATTTCCAACGCCAAGCATTTGATCTACATCACAGGGTGGTCGGTTTTCACCGAGATCACGATGATCCGAGACCCCGCTAGAGCTTCGCTGGGAGCCGAGGCACAGACGCTGGGCCAGCTCCTGCGGAGGAAAGCCGAGGAGGGAGTCCGAGTTTTACTCCTCGTCTGGGATGACCGGACCTCTCTCAGCGTCGTCAAGACGGAGGGCGTGATGAACACTCACGACGAGGAGACTTTCAATTATTTCAAGAACACCAAAGTCAAGTGCCGGCTGTGTCCCAGGAATCCGGACAGTGGTCTCAGCATCGTCCAAGGCTTCCAGATCGGTGCCATGTTTACACACCACCAGAAGACGCTGACGGTTGATGTCCCGGCACCCGGAAGCCATATGAGGGCCATCACAAGTTTCGTGGGTGGTCTGGACCTCGCGGCGGGAAGATATGACAACCAGCATCACTCGGTCTTCCACACGCTCAATGCCGCGCACAAGGACGACTTTCGGCAGACGAGCTTTCCCAGGGCGTGTCGCAAGTTCGGCGGGCCGAGAGAGCCGTGGCACGACATCCACGCGCGGATAGAAGGCCCGGCCGCCTGGGACGTGCTCCACAACTTCGAGCAGCGCTGGAGAAAGCAGGCGAGCAAGGACGCGAACTGGCTGCTCGAGCTGGCGCAGATGAGATCCATCGTCCCCCCGACCGTCCCGGCTTGTCCAGGAGAAGACTGGAACACTTGGAACGTACAACTCTTCCGGTCGATCGACGCGGCGGCGGTGGCTGGCTTCCCGCAGGATCCAGCAGCAGCGGGAGCAATGGGACTGGTGAGCGGCAAGGACAACATCATCGACAGGAGCGTCCACGACGCTTTCATCGCGGCTATCCGGCGAGCCAAGGACTTCATCTACATCGAGAACCAATACTTCCTGGGAAGCTCTTTCGCGTGGGAGTCGCACCAAAACGCTGGAGCTCACCACTTGGTTCCCCGCGAGATAGCGCTCAAGATCGTGAGCAAGATCCAAGCTGGCCAGCCTTTCCGGGTCTACATCGTCATTCCAATGTGGCCCGAGGGGGTCCCTGACAGCCCCCAGGTGATGGCGATCCTGGAGATGATGGTGAGGAGCATGGAGATGATGTACAGGACCATCGCTCCGGCACTCTTCGCCAAGCAGCTCTTCGACGTGGATCTGCGAGACTACCTTTCCTTCTACTGCCTGGGGAACCGGGAGAGGCGAGCTCCCGGCGACTACTTGCCTGTGGAGTCTCCCGAGCCGGGCTCCAGCTACAAGCTCGCGCAGGACCATCGCCGCTTCATGGTCTACGTCCACTCCAAGATGATGATCGGTAAGCCAGCTGCCTCGTTTCAAAGTTTTCTAGCGAACTTACGAGAAGATCTCTTGCGCAGTGGACGATGAATACATCATAGTTGGATCAGCGAATATAAACCAGCGCTCCATGGATGGCGGCCGCGACACGGAGATCGCCATGGGAGCTTACCAGCCATACCACACTTGCCTGGCGCAGCCACCACGGGGCCAAGTCCACGGCTTTAGAATGTCGCTGTGGTACGAGCACACGGGTGTGCTTGACAACGATTTCCTGGCCCCCAGCAGCATCCAGTGCATGAGAAAGATGAACAGCATGGGGGACTACTACTGGCAGCTCTACGCGGGGGAGCCCGAGGTGGATCTTCCGGGCCATCTCCTGGCATACCCGATCACTGTGGCAAAAGATGGCACCGTTAGTGAGCTCCCGGGATTCTCCTCCTTTCCAGACATGAAGGGCCGGATACTCGGTGGAAGATCCGACTATTTTCCTGATATTCTCACCTCGTAAGCTCATCTCCGAATCCTTGTAAATCAATGTGAATAACATCAAGGTTTTAACAAAAAAGGTTCTTTTTTGTTAGCAATATTTTCTGCCCTACTTCTTAACAAAATAGATTTTGGAGATGCCGGGAATTGAACCCGGGTAAAGTGAGCTTTTGCACTGGTTATAACCACTACATCTCCCTTCTTTTCCAATAATGTTTAATTTCTTAATTGCGAGTAAAATTTTGTTGCCCTATTTTGTAAAAAAAAATATCAGGAATAATATCAATAATTCACGCACAGGGATGATTAATGGATGGTATTGTGAATTAAAAAATAAAGAACTTTATTGTTCTTGATGTCTACAACTCAGGATTCCAAAGGATTTAATATTTTGCAAATTTTTTTTTCATTTTTCATTGCTAGAATAGCTCAGAGACAGAGAGAGGGAGAGGGAGTTCAACCAACCAAGTGTTCTCAGGGATGGGCGCCCTTGAATATCGAAGTGGCACTGCGTCGTCCCAGAGCCTTGTGCTCATGATCAAGTCGTAAACAAAACACCCTGTCTAAATTGCGAAAAGATTTCGGGATTGCCGAGAAAAACTCATGATAGGTAGTGCTTGTAACTAAGGTACCTCATTTGAGAAACGCATTACCAATGGTAGAATTGAGAATGGAGCTAGGGCCCCTGCATTGTCAAGAGGATGGAGAAAGATTGAAGCCTTGCGATTTACTTCTTGGCTGGCATCATTGGCCACACAGAATTTGAAGAGGTGATTCAATTACTAGCAGCTGAAGGAGAAAGTAGTTGGCAAACTACATGGAATCTCAGGTGGGGGCCGATTAAAATGTCAATCTTCATTGCGTTATTGGATGGATTTCTTTCTTAGTTTTGCAGCTAACCAGTGTGTGAGAAAAAAGAGATAAAATCGAAGGATGCATTCGTATTTCCATCTTTGAATGGAGGAAATAGGATCCAATGCCCAAATGAACCAAAAAAAAAAGAAAAAACCATCCAGCAAAAGGGGAACACAAACCAACGAAAAACAAATCACTAGGAAAGCTAAACAAGAAATCCATCCAAGAACATGAAGAAGTGGGGTTTTAATCGGCCCCCACCTGTGATTCAATGTAGTTTGCCAACTACTTTTCCTGCAGCCACGAGCAATTCAATCGCCTCCTCAAATTCTGCCTGGTGATGCCCGGAGTTGTACGGACAATTGAATTCGTTAGGCTTGGACTTGAATATGGCTGTTAGGGACCAAATCGCCGAACTTTTGAGGTCTTGCCGCGATGCCAAGGATCTCTCCCAGGCCAGGAGTGTCCATGCCTCGATCGTGGCATCGAAATACGAGCTCGATCGTTACCTCTCCAATCTCGCATTGCAAATGTATGGGCGATGCGGCAGCCTCGAGGACGCGCTGAAGATTTTCGGCCAGATCAGAAAGCCCAACCTCATCTCCTGGAACACGCTCCTCCAGGCACTCTCGGAGAATGGGGAGGTGGAGAAAGCGAGAGAGATTTTTGATCGAATGCCCGGCTGGGACGTCGTGTCGTGGAACTCGTTGATGGCGGCGTATGCCCGCAACGGGGATTTGGAGGAGGCGAGGAGGATTTACGAATTGGCCGCAGAGAGAGATCTCATATCTTGTAACACGATGATCGATGGGTATGCAGAGATGGAGTTTTTGGAGGAGGCAAAGTCAATGTTTGATTCCATGGACGAAAAGAATGTTGTCTCTTACAACACCATGATCCAGGCATATGCCGAGAACGGGCATCTTTTCGAGGCAAAGGTTCTCTTTGAGGAGATGCCGGTTAAGAATGTGGTGAGCTGGACTGCCATGGTGACGGCATATGCGCAGGTAGGACACGTGGACGAATCACGACGGATTTTTAACGCGATGCCGGAGAGGAACGTGGTGACATGGAACACGATGCTCCAGGGATATGCTGACTATGGGAATCTTGAGGAGGCAGAGCGAATCTTTTTCGAGATGCCGGAGGAGAGCCTTGTGTCGTGGAACGCAATGGTATCTTTGTACGCAGAGTGTGGGCTTTTGGAGCGGGCAAAAAATCTCTTTGATAGAATGGTTTTCAGAGACGTCATCTCTTTTAACACAATAATCTATGCCTTTGCCCAGGACAGGAATCTTGAAGAATCTAGACGCCTCTTCAACTCCATGCCACAGAGGAACGTCGTGTCGTACAACTGCATGATCGCGTCGTATGGCCTGTACGGGCATCTAGAAGAAT